CAATCCCGGTCGGTGATCGCCCTCGCTTTCCCCCCTGTCCCCATGTCGAAGCCAGAGCTGATCCAGAAGGCGAAGCTGGCCGAGCAGGCCCAGCGCTACGAGGACATGGCCACCTGCATGAAGGCCGCGACGGAGCAGGGCGCCGAGCTGTCCGAGGAGGAGCGCAGCCTGCTCTGGGTGGCCTACGGGCACGTGGCCGGGAACCGCAGGTCCGCCTGGAGGGTCATCTCCAGCATCGAGCAGAAGACCGACGCCTCCGATAAGAAGCTGCAAGTGATCAAGGACTAACCGGGAGGAAGTGGAGCCCGAGCTGCGGGGCATCTGCACCACGGCCCTGGAACTGCTGGATAAGCATTTAATAGCCCGCGCATCGAATCCGGAGAGTAAGGTCTTCTACCTGAAAGTGAAGGGCGATCACTTCCGGTACCTTGCTGAAGTTGCACGTGGTGATGATCGAAAACAGACGATAGATAACATCCAAGGAGCTTACCAAGAGGCTTTTGATATAAGCAAGAAAGAGTTGCAGCCCACACACCCGATTCGTCTGGGGCTGGCTCGTGACTTTTCTATATTTCACTACGAGCTCCTCAATACCTCTGAGCTTGCCTGCGCACTGGCGAAAACGGCCTTTGATGAGGCCGTTGCAGATCTCCACACGCTGAGTGACTCACACGAAGACAACACCCTCGTCATGCAGTTCTTAGAGACAACCTCAGCCTATGGACACCGGGCAGCGCAGGAGAAGAATGAGATGGGGCAGATGGAGCCAAAAAAGAACTGCAAACAGAGTGTCATCCTTCCTCCCTCCAGAAGCCTTTGTGCACATCTCCATCCCTTACTCCATTTGGGTTTCCTAGAGCAAAGAAACCCATTTGTGTGTATGGCATCCACGGCTTATCGTCTTCTCACACTGCAGCTGTGGGAAAACTCCACTCCTTGATTTGTGCTTGTCTTGGCCTTCCTAGTGTGCAGTGACCAATGTAGAGAAGTATTAATAGCTTCGTTTCACATAAACACTTCCAAACACTTACAGAGAGGACTAACCATGTATTTGGTATTTAAGTAATCTGAACCAGTTCTGCAAGTGACTGGGTTTTGTATTACTGTGAAGATCTGAAAATGCAGCTAATTAACAATTTAAAGAGGGTTTTACACAACTTCTTAATTTCTACATTCCCTCCCTTACTCTTCTTTGGGGGGTTCCTTCCGGTGAAGAAGTTTCCATGTTCTTACTGTATTCCTTTTTGGCAGGAACCTGGATGTATTAGATTGAATGGGAAAGTATTTGATAATTCTGGGCTGCGGGTCACAACTTGAAATGCCTCCTGTGTCACATATGGTGGAAGCCTTGTGTTGCTGTGACAATAGGGAGTTTCCTTATTCACTCTTCATTTGCTGCTGCTTCGGTTGACAACTTTCTTTCCTAATAAAAACTCACTTACCAAAAAAAAAAAAAGAGAGAGAGAACTTTAGCTGGTTTGGCTCAGTGGATACAGTGTCAGCCTGCGAACTGAAGGGTCCCGGGTTCGATTCCGGTCAAGGGCACATGCCCAGGTTGTGGGGCTCAATCCCTAGTGTAGGGCCTGCAGGAGGCAGCCGGTCAATGATTCTCTCTCATCATTGATGTTTCTCTCTCTCTCTCCCTCTCCCTTCCTCTCTGAAATCAATAAAAATATATTTTTTTAAAAAGCAGATTATTCCAGAAATTAGTTTATGTATGCATTGCTAATTTCATAGCACTTTAAACTCCTCAGCAAAGGAAAATGTTTAAGTTTTGATTTAAAGGAACTGTAGCAGATTATTTGCCCCACCCACCCTGGAAGTCCATGTCCGATCCCCAGACTCTGTAAAAATGTTACCTTACTTGGGGATATAAGGTGAGGAATGTGGGCAGTGTCTAGCACAGGGGTCCCCTTTTTAAACAGGGGGCCAGTTCACTGTCCCTCAGACTGTTGGAGGGCCGGACTATAGTTTAAAAAAAAAACTAGTCGGCCTCTAGCAGCTGAAAAGGCAAGGAATGAATTCTCCACTAGAGCCTCCAGAAAGAACACAGCCCTGAAGACACCTTGATGTTAGTAGCCTAAGACCCATCCCAGATTTCCAATATGAACAAATATATGTGTATATTGTTTATATATCTGTCTATGAAAATGTGTATACACACACACACACACACACACACACACACACACACATACAGGGTAGGGGGCAAAAATAGGTTTACAGTTGTGAGTACATGAACCACAGAGTTAATAAAGCTATTGTAATAATCACAACCTGCATGTCTTTTTCCATACGAACAACTATAAACCTACTTTTGCCCCACCCTGTATTCTCCGTTCATTGAGAAGGTCTGGGAGGAGCAACACTCCAATAGCACACCTAGCACCCGTTCTCAAGGGCTCCTTGGAGAAATGGCTGATTCCAGGGCTGGCGCAGGAAAGGACAAGATACGCAGGGACATCTTGGTGTTCCAGAAAGTAAGGAAGTGCTGAAAGAAACATAGGGGCATGTTGAATGAACACAGGAGCTTAGTTTGAAACAATTCCAATGAGAAAATCTGAGAACAGTTTGAACACCTCAATAAGGATATACTAACTCATTGACTGAAATAGAGAACTATGAACTCATACAGATAGAAACAAACAAACTGAAAGTTTTATGAGGAATGTGATCAAGCAAATACTTATTACAAAGAGAAGACTACCTTTACCATGAAGCTCAGAAGATACCACCTATATCAAGAGATCCAAGTACACTAGTAGAAAACAGTGGTTTACACAGAATCAAAAGAAAAATTTGGTAGTATTAGTCTAGTACCTCTGAGACAAGACATGCTACATACAACATATACTAAAACCTAGCCCTAGCCAGTATGGTTCAGTTGGTTTAGTGTGGTCCTGTGCACTGAAAGGTCACAGGTTCAATTCCCTGTCAGAGCACAATTCTCACTGCCTTTAAGCAAATAATATATCCCAGGATTAAAACCTGGAGGCTAATACACTACAATGAGGAGCTACTCTAGCATGGCAAGAGATATACAGTGAACATGACACATGCAAGAGGCAGCCAATGGATGTTTCTATCTCTCCCCAACCCCACCCCGTTCCTATCTTTCTAGGAAAAAAAATCAATAAAAACATATTTTTTAAAAAGGTATACCCAACTGTGGATCAGGGTAGGGTCATCATTTCTGTGTGGCCAATAAAATATCCTTCAAGACCATTTAGCATCCCGTATTCTGATTCTATGCTCTCCAGAGAGCCTACTGATTAGTAACTTGCCCTCCTATTTACCTTTTTCTCATCAGGAGATATTCTAGATCTCCATGTAGCCACATAAGTACTGGAAATGTGGCTAATCTGAATTGAGATGTGCTGTATATCCACCCCAGATTTTGAAGACTTTGTATGAAAAAGCAAATGGAAAATATCTCAGTAATAATGTTATATGGATTACATGTTGACATTATAAACATTTTGGATATACTGGTTTAAATAAAATATAGTATTGAAATTGATTTTACCTGTTTCTTTTTACTTGTCTCAGTATGGCTACTGGAAATTTTTAAATTACTTTTGTAGCTCATATTTGTGGATAGTATTATATTTCTATTGGAGATCACTGGTCTAGTACATTGAACAATACTGCAGTCAATGTAAATATACAACCTCCCTTTAAACTATTACATTGAGTTGAGTATTATTCATCTTTGTTTACCTAGCACTTGGGTGCCTTGAGCAAAAATATTAGAAAGTCTATTAAATGTATGTTTTTCCACAATTTATGGCTTTGACCAGTAGCTATAGGCCTCCTTACTTTAAAAAGGATTTGTACATAACCTCTCCATTGTTTCCTTCCTCATCTGTTCATTACAAACAACTTGTAAAGATTGAACACAGAAAAACCTATAAGAAAGTAATTTTCAGTTGTGTGGACTAAAAATAATGAAAAATAACTAATCTTATTAAGTGAAAGCTCATAACCATACAGCACACTGTATTTTATGAAGGACAGAGCCTCAGAAACAGATTGCGGAATTGATATTTCATCACTATACAGTGACCTACATTATATATCCTCTTATTTGTCCCCGAACTCCAACAGCAACCTCCAGGCTGACATAGCAGAGTGGTGGTTAAAGGGAAAATAGATTATACAAAAAAGGAGGTTTATCATAAGATCAGTATAATGCTTTGGCCTCACCACATACACCAGATGTCTATAACCACTTCCTCAGCAGGTAGCTTCTACATCCCAAGGGCTGTAAAAAACAAACTCACTATCAACTTCTCCTGCTAATAATTCGTTTTTTAATATTGTGGCAGCATCAAAATAGCACTGAGACACAATTCCTCAACATAAGAAGAAGAAGAAAAAAGTATACCTTACTGTGGATCAGGGTAGGGTCATGTTTACTCTGTTCAAAGGAAAATCCTCTTCTGAAAAATGATGTTATCCAACAGAAAATCTTGGCTTCTCAAAATACAGATATGTTCTCATTTCTCATTTTAAATGAAGTAAGTGGCCTTGGTTTTACCCAATTCTGTGGCTGTTTTGTAAAAGACATTGAAAATGCCTGAGAAACTATTAACATTAGTTTTACTGAAGTTAAATATTTACAGTTGCTAATTCAACAGAATCATCGACCCATACTTTAATATTTTTCTAAAAATTATTTAAACAAGAATTCAGTTGTCTTCTCCACCTTCCATAGCTCCAAAGAAACCTTTCTGGTGCACAAGACAAACTGAAGCAAATATTCTCTAAAAGGCGACTTACTGATTTCAATAAAAAGTGTAATTAGATGACAGTTCTGCTTCAATAATGTGAGGAACTTCTAACAAACTACAATTCTGTTGCCCCAACTAAACGAAGAAAAAATCCTAAGTGCAAGCTGACCTCTACAAAATTCCTGCCATGAAACCATTCTTTCCTTCCAGCGAAGAAAAAGATCCTACACGTTCAAGTTCTTTATCATTTTACATGTGGGCTGCATGTCCTTCTCCAATGGTCTCCCTCTCGCTTGGTTGCTCTATGTACTTCCCATAACTGATTCGTCCTTGGATACCGACTTGCCTAACGATTGGGACTCACACCGATCCAGCCATTCTGGCTTTACGACAGGGAATAGAAACGACAAGGAATAGCAGGCTTCGGACCAGACGCAAAGGGCACCCAAGTGCCATCCGGAACCAAAACCGGGACAAACAAGAGGTTGGGAAGCAAAGTGGCCTCAGGCCAATGACCTTTCCCCTGACCTTGAAAAGGTACGTGCACACTGCCGCTCAGTCGCTAAACTGAATGGTATTCATGAATGTGAAAATAAGAATAATTCAATATTTGGAATTAAAAATAAAACAGAAACTAAGTCATAAGCGACGGCTGCATGAAGAAAAGGAAGGTTCCAAGGCCTTGACAGGCGAGTCTGAATGTGCAGGAGCTGGAAAGAGTTAGAGGGAAGCGGAGGGAAAACACCAACACCTTCCGCCGACCTCAGGCGCCTGACGTCCCGGGGAGACGGCTACCCTCGGTGCGCATGCGCAACTCGCGGCGGGAGCGTGGCGGGCAGAGCAGTTCGGTCCGCCTGGGTTTGTCCGCAGGCCTGACCACTTCTTAGTCTCCCTGCTTCTCGTCTCTGCTCTTGAAGCCAGGATTCTGGTTTGACAGACTTTTTTCCCACTGAGTGAAATTAGGGCACCTGAGGGGACTTCCGGTCAAGATGGCGGAGTGAGTAAACAGTCTCTGAGAAGCTGAAAATGTGTCCAAGGTCACAGTTTTGTTTTTTTTAAATGAGGGGCACAAGCTAACGTGGTGCTTTTTCTGTCATTTCCTCCATAGCTAGAGTGCCACTGCTCCAATTTGAAGTTCTGTGGCTCTCCCCGCAAGGCGATCAAATCCTGTTCCTACTGCTTGAGACTCCAGAATCTGTAGGGCACCCTGTTGTAAAAATAGTACCCTTAAAAGGGGGGCGGGGGGGGACTGCTTCATATCTCAAGGATTGAGGGCTTGGGGAAATTAAGGTAAAAATTTAGAGAGGCAAGTGTCCCATAGTAGTAGGACACATAATTTACCTCAAAACACGCATTCCAGAAGAGCACTTTGTTCCAATTTAAGCATCTAAAAGCATTTGAGCACTTAAATAAACGCTCCCCATCTGTTTATTCAAGCCTCCTGTCAAGAATCTGAAGTAGTGCCCCGGCCGGTTTCACTCAGTGGGTAGAGCCGGGGCGGCGGACTGAAGGGTCCCACGTTCCGTTCTGGTCAAGGGCACAGGCCCGGGTTGCGGGCTCAATCCCCACCCAGTTAGGGGGCGTGCAGGAAGCAGCAGATCAATAATTCTCATCATTGATGCTTCTATCTTTCTCTCCCTCTCTAAAATCAATTTTTAAAAAAAGAATCTGAAGTAGTGATGCCTTACCTGCATGATGGGGTGGGGCCGCCCCAGAGGAGTAGGCAGAATGAAAGGTCTTGGATAAACTCGATCTCAGGGCTGGAGTCCTTGACAGGAAAAGGAAATGGGGTAAAAGCAAATCAGATGAGGCTTAATTCTAGAGTGTTCTGATCCACACACCAAAGGCCACAGCCTAGGAACCTTGGCAGCGGGGAAGCAAACAATCATGCAAAAGGGTAAAATGCCAAATATGTCAAAACAATAAAAAAGGAAATTTAGCCCTAGCCGGCTTGGCTCAGTGGATAAGAGGTAGGGCCTGCGGACTGAAGGGTCCCAGGTTCGATTCCGGCCAAGGGCACATGCCGGGGTTGCGGGCTTGATTCCCTGTAGGGGACGTGCAAGAGGCAGCCGATCCATGATTCTCTCTCATCATTGATGTTTCTCTCTCTCTCTCCCTCTCCCTTCCTCTCTAAAATCAATAAAAATACATTTTTAAAATTTTTTTTTTAAAAAAAGGAAATTTACCTCCACATATCCCATTATACCGTAGATAGCTTGGTACAAAATAAATAAATAAGCCCCCTGACCTGGAATCCTATTTCCCTTATTACCTGCAAATATAAATCCTCAACATTGCAGGTAGGAGTTCATTCTTAACTCAGAATGTTCTCAGAAAACCAGGGGGGAGTGTGTGCACAGCTAACAGTGGGTGTTTCCCTGCGGGAGTTGCACTGCGATGATCATTGCAGCTTCCCTGGCAGACGCCAGTTTCCTCAGGTGCAGCTGCCATTGGTTAAGTTTAGCTGCTTCAACTGCAGGTCCTTCCATTACACTTACCGCTTCTTCTGCCAATCCCAGCATTCCTCAGTCAGTCACAGCTACCGCGTCTGTATCAATAACACTGAGTTCCACTGAGCCTGTTTTTGGCGTCTCCGTGCCAAAAGGACAGGACTCCAGGAGAAAATGCCTCCAAGTGGAAAAACCTAGTAGGGCCTTTATGAGTTAACTCTGGGGCTGTGGACTATTCAAGGAAAGTCACAGCTAAAGTGCAGGGCACAGCCCTAACCTGTTTGGCTCAGCGGATGGAGCTGGGCCTGCAGACCAAAGAATCCTGGTTCTCCCGCCAAGGGCATGTACCTTGGTTGCAGGTCCCCCCCCAGCCTGGGCCCTGGTCAGGGATCCTGCAGGAGGCAACCAATTGATGTGTTTCTCTCACATCTCACGTTGATGTTTCTCTGTCTTTCCCTCTCTTCCACTTTCCCTAAAAATCAATGGAAAAATATCCTCCGGTGAGAATTAACAACAAAAATAATAAAGTGGAGGGCATAGATCATGCATGGCCTCCTACGAGATGGTGCAGTCTGAGTATATAATAGGATAATCAGAGGTGTATGGAAGCATTTACAGTGTCAAAGTAACTTTTGCTGTGTTTTTTTTTTTTAAATATATTTTTTGATTTCAGAGAGGAAGCGAGAGGGAGATAGAAACATTGATGAAAGAGAATCATTCATCTGCTGCCTCCTGCATGCCCCCTACTGGGGATGGAACCGGCAATCTGAGCATGTGCCCTTGACCTGAATCGAACTTGGGACCCTTCAGTCCTCAGGCTAATGCTCTATCCACTGAACCAAACCGGCTAGGGCTGAAAGTAACTTCTTGAAGAGCTAAAATAGGTTATTTTCACCAGTGTTGTGTGCCTACTAGTATTTAGTGGCTCGTGTCCAGTATTGACCAGTAATATGGATGTGTCCATTGCATAAGTGACCAGGTCCAAATGATGCCTTAAAATGTAAATGAGTAAACATTCACAAAATTTAAAACGTCAAAACTTGCTTCACTTCCTCTTAATCAGAATTGATTATAGGGTAAAACCTGCTTCAGGGTCTTATCACCCAAAAAAAGTGATTAGATTTGTATGAAATAAAAATGTTTTACTAGTACATAATCATTTTAAAGATTCTCTTGGAGAGTAACTCATTTTGTAATTTCCATTTTGTGGTATAACCTGTTCTCCTTCAAGTTAGGGTTGTCCAATAGACTAGTAACACAAGTAGCTACCTGGGGGCAAATTACCCAAGCCAGGCTCTCAAATCTTAGGGTGATTAATACATGAATAAGGAATGCAGCAGAATGCTATTAAGCAACAGCTGCAGAATATGATTGCACCCGGTCCTAGGAAGAACAGAGAGGACATTTTCAGCAGTTGGGAAAATAAATGTCCTTGAAAAACCTCTCTTTAAAATATTGAACAAGGAATAAGCAATAAAAGTGTTTTGTTTTGAATTACAATCTCTCAGAACTGCTTCATTATCTAATACCTCCACCAAAAACTTTTAGTAGTTCTGCTATTTCCTTTAACCAAGAGGGGAAAGGCTTTTAATGTTTTAAAGATGTAACACACACAAAAATGCCCTACTAATTTCAATAAACAATTCCTGTAGTTAAAATATGCTTCAATATTTTCCAACTCTTCAGGAAACAGAGTTGCATAATTAATATACCTTTTCAATATTAAACTGTAAGACAATCACAAAACATTACCTAATATTATACTTGTACCTTGATTTGATAAAATACATTCCAGAGTTGCCTAAAATGAAACATTTTAAAAACTACTTATCACAAGAAAACCAAGAGAACAGGAAAAAAACATTGTTTGGTTCAGATTTGATTTGCTCAAGGTAAACATGCAAGAATTATGTGTTTGTATTTAGATTATCAAGGGGTCCTAAAGATAAACATACAGTATAAATGAAGAGTTTGGACTCATTTTACAAAACTACTGATGTACAACAGGTTTATAACAAGTTCAGTTAACTACAAGTAATAATTACTTCAACTGTAGGTAATAAAGTTATTACTTCAAATCAAAATACAAAAAGTACTGGATCAATTTGCAACTCCAAAAGAAAAATTAAGAAAATCCAGAATTTTTTTCTGCTTCTTGGAAAAAAAAAGAAGGCAGATCATGAGTTAATTATTAAATTGTAATGCCTCATATCACACCCACGTGTTTAAATGACTTAACTTCCAAGCTGTTGCTCAGTTTTTTAAAAAGATCTTCAATGCTCCCAATGGTGGTGTTCAAAAGTGAATATCATACACTGAAACTAATCATTAACAACAAATCTTCAATTTATTTGAAGCAATTCAGTTTCAAAAACTTTAAATTACAGCAGTCTCAGAAAAAACAGGGAACAGTCAGAAACAATAAAGGAATACTCAGAAGAACTGCATTTTTTTGTTTGTTTGTTTTAACACTGTCATGGCTTTATTCAAAACACAGTTGCACAAAAGTATTAACTTCAAAGATTTTTTAGTTTTGAGGAGTTTAACACACTATATACACACTGCCATACAAAGAAGCATTAAAATAGGACCTAAAACGTCTACAAAATATAAAACCCACCCTTATTTGCATGAAAATATCACCCACAAAGCTAAATAAGTCTTAAAAGTTATTTGGAGGCTCTTAAGTGTTGTTTACAAACCAAAGAACAATAATATTGATTGCACAATAAAATGATTGATAAGAAAGCCAGTATATAAATTTAATTTTAAAAATAAGTATTTTATAATCTGTCAAACAATGTGATGAGAATTCTTAGGGACTAAAACAAGCGATTTCAGTTGTTAAAAAGGAATAAAATGTTAGCTATTTGGATATTCGAATCCCCCCACTAAACTTATCTCAGTCATTTTGTGCCACTTTTTTAGTTTAAGCTAAAGCAGTACTATACTCAGTAATTTAAATGTGTCCCAGTATGAAAGTGTAACTTAAGTTAATTTGCTGACATTAACAAAAAAACTTACAAATATTCAAAACCAAAGGGGGAAAAATTTAGAGAGCCAAGATTAAAAAAGCAATTGCCTTGAACATCGAGCCTCCATAACAAAAAGGGAGATGAACTTATCTACTCATATTATAATCAGTAGCCATATAAGAAAACACACTCGCACTTCTCCCAAATATTTTTCTATTTTTAATGGACATCCACTTGAAAACAAATCCTAATTTTAATATGGATTTAGTTTCAAATATTTTTCCATTGCCTAATATATTCCAATCAAATGCTAAATCTGATAATGCTTTAAAACTGTAGAGAGAATAATTAAAGGTTCTACTCAGAAAAAATTAGAAATGCTTGCAGAGTGGTAGCTAAGTCATTTGGGAAGCTAACTTATAATTTGATTTGAATGTCTCATTAATTACCAACAGGCAAATTATTCTGACTTTTGAGGAACACCATTGCTGCTTCCAAAAGCCCATCTGCTTTTCTTTCTTCATCCTTCTACAGTCTGTATATCTTGTCAACCAAGAAGCATTTCCAGTAAGCAGAGTCTGTTGCATAAAACTGCATAGATAATAATATTCATATCTCAGAAAATACTCAGTTTGTTTCACTTAGCTTTTTGAAAACTGAGACAGGTCTGAAAAGGTAATTGAGGTATAAGAATAAAGGTTTTCCTGGGTATTCATAAGTTTCCCCCCCATTTTTTTTTTTTGAGAAGAGGGAGGAGAGTGAAACAAGAAAGGAAGGTGGTCTTAAAGGAATTGTTGAAAGAAAATGAAAAATGCACACTTAAAAATAAAACAAAAACCAACCATTAGCATGTCATGATCTTCATTCAGCTTGAGAACAAAGGGCTCCTCTGCATGTCTCTGAACTTACTATAAGCAGTTTTTCCTTCAAAAATAAAATCTTATTAGCCACCTGGCTTAAAGGTTTCAGAAGCCTCCCCAAAAGCCAGGAACTATCTTTTTTAATAGAACCTTTACTGTTCTGCTCCTACTTTCCAAGTTACTCATGTGACAAAAGAGCACCTAAAATCCCTTAGCCAAAAAAGGCATTGCCTTCAAAATGAAGATCTCTGGGTCACCTCTAAAAAAATAACCAACTTATCATTCAAAAGACTATTTTTATTTCATACTCCAGCTGACTGTGATTTCTGTTAATTGATAAATAACTTTAAAACCTTATGAATGAAATGTACCATACTATGCCTGTGCAAAAGCCATCATGTTTTAATTATGGGCTAAAATGACTAAGAAGTAAACTTGTATTAGAAAAATTAAGATTCTAAATAAACTGCTAGGGAATTTCACAAGGAGGTCAATGAAAATTTTTCTCTACATATGATCATTAACAGACTAGTAAATCTTATTTGGAATGATAAGGCAAAAATAGTAAAACCACACTTTTCCTATAAAAAGTTACACATTATCTTATGTAGGGATAACTATTATACATAAAGAAATAAGATGTGACCACTCTATTGCACACCCAGGAATTTAGGGAAACTGGTCTTAGAATGATCTAGTCATCTTCTTCCTCTCCATCATCTTCAGCATCTCGTTTCCGCTTTTCCCCTCGAAGACCTTCTTCTGAAAGAAGAGTGAAAGGAAAAGTATAAAATACTTAATTTTAGCAAATAAATATTTGTAAAATTACAAAGTTTGGATCTATCTTAGTGAAAAGTTACTGGCGTAAAAAATGACAGGTTAAGTGTCATCTGTGAATTTTTCAACTTCAGTTGAAAGAACTTAATAGACTTAGAAATCCATAAATAATGGAAGCTTGCTATGCACCCTTGTGGCCAAATCGTGAAGTACAGGTCAAGAAATTAAGGGCTTGCCCTGACCAGTTTGGCTCAGTGGCTAGGCAGGGGTGGGCAAACTTTTTGACTCGAGGGCCACATGGGTTCTTAAACTGGACTGGAGGGCCGGATCAAAAGCATGTATGGAGTGTTTGTGTGAACTAATATAAATTCAAAGTAAACATCATTACATAAAAGGGAACGGTCTTTTTTTAAATAGTTTTATTCATTTATTCGGGGCCGGATCCGGCCCGCAGCCAATAGTTTGCCTAAGGTTGCTCTATCCCCTTCCTCCTCCGCTGTCCCATCAGCCTCTGTCCCGCCTTCCTATGTCCCATCATACTCTGTCCCATCCACATCTGTACCCTCCCTTTCTCTGTCCCATTATCCAGTGTCCACTCCCTCCTCTGTCCAAATTAAGGGCTTGATATAATGGACTTATTAGTGAATTTTAAAATTTATTTTGAAAGGCCTAGGTAGAGTACCAGAGAACAAATCTAAAAAGGGTATTATCGAGTTCAACTGTTCTTCCCTTCTAGAGAAGCCTTCATCCTCTCCAAAATGTAAGATTCTGAAAAAATTAAACTGAACTCAAAGATCCATTATCTTGCCTGGCCAGTGTGACCCAGTGGTTGAGCGTCAACCTATGAACCAGGAGGTCATGGTCTGATTCCCAGTCAGGGCACATGCCCAGGTTTTGGGCTCGAACCCCAGTGGGCAGGGTGCAGGAGGCAGCCGACCAATGATTTTTTTCTCATCATTAATGTTTCTATTTCTCCCTTTCCCCCGTCCTCTCTGAAATCAACAAAAATATTTTTAAAAAGAAATCCATTATCTCTTTATTCCTACTTTTAAAATAATGTTATAAGCTGTTTTTTTATTGGAATTAATGAATACCCTGAGAAAAAAGAGGTTTTATACTTTTCAAGGGAATTCTATGATATGTTGCCAAAATCAAAGAGATCAGTAGTAATTTTGAACTATAGAGTCAATCTTTAAAGTCCATGAATAGCTGTAACCTTAATTTTAGGATATCTTTTTCTTCTTTTTTTACTCTTTATCATTTAGTATTATAGATGTCTCCCCCTAACTCCCCCTGCCCCAACACACACAGACTGCCCTCCTCCACCTGGATCCTGCCCCACCCCAGGCCTTTACCACCCTATTGTTTGTGTCCACAGGTAATGCATATATGTATATAAATTCTTTCGTTAACCTCTTCCCATCATCCCCTCCCCTCTTCCTTCTGACATCCATCTGTCTGTTCTATGCTTCCATCCCTCTGGGTCTATTTTATTCATTAGATTCCTTGTTCATTTATTTTCATTTTTTAGATTCAATTTTTGATAGATATTTATTCATTGCCATTTTATTGTTCACATTTTTTATCTTCTTCCTCTTTTTAAAGAAGACCTGTCAATATATCATGTAATACTGGTTTGGTCATGATGAACTCCTATACCTTTTTCTTGTCTGTGAAGTTCTTTATCTGACCTTCAATTCTAAATGATAGCTTTGCTAGGTAGTCTTGGTTGTAGGTCCTTATTCTTTATCACTTTGAATATTTCTTGCCACTAACTTCTGGCCTGCAAAGTTTCTGTTGAGAAACTGGCTGACAGTTGTTTGGGCGCTCCTTGTAGGTAACTAACTGCTTTTCTTTTTCTGCTTTTAAGATTCCCTTTGTCTTTAACCTCTGGTATTTTAATTATGAAGTGTCTTGGTGTGTGCCTCTTGGCACCCCTATAATACAAATGTTGGTACGCTTAAAGTTGTCCCAGAGGCTCCTTACACTATCTTTATATTTTTGGATTTTTTTTTTCTTTTTGCTCTTCTGATTGGGTGTTTTTTGCTTGCTCATATTCCAAATCGCTGATTTGATTCTTGGCATCCTCTACTGTTGATTCCTTATGAATTATTCTTCATTTCATTTAGTGTATCCTTCATTTCTGACTGTTCCTTTTGTATGTCCTTGAAGTTCTCATTAAGTCTCTTGAGCATCCTTAAAACCATTGTTTTGAACTCTGTATCTGGTAGTTTTCTTGCTTCCATTTCATTTAGTTCTTTTTAAAATATATACATTTATTGATTTCAGAGAGGAAGGGAGAGGGAGAGAGAGAGAGAAATATCAATGATGAGAGAGAATCACTGATCAGCTGCCTCCTGCACACCCCCTACTGGATCCTTTCAAGTTGCTGCCCCAGTGCTGGAGCTCAGGGGAGTGAGTCTGAGTAAGTCTGTGTGCGGGCCCTTTAAGAGGAATTGCCTGGGACTCCAGCAGCCTCTGCATCACTCAGCCACAATCCCCACTGGTTTTTACAACCCGAAGTTACAGGGACTTCTCTTCTTGGCACTGGAACCCTGAGTTGAAGAGTCTGGTGTGGGGTTGGGATAGCCTTGCTTCTCACAGGGCGAGCTCTGCAGCCAAGATATCCCTTCTGATTTTTAACCATCATACATGGGTGTTGGACCAGCCCGTTCCACACCTCTGCCCCTCATACCAGTTTCAATGTGGCTTCTTTAATTCTCTAGTTGTAGGGCTTCTGTTCTTCCAAGATTTCAGGTGGTTCTGAATGATGGCTGTTCTGTGGTTTAGTTGTAATTTTGATGTGGTTGTGGGAGGAGGCAAATACTGTGTTTACCTATGCCGCCATATTGACCCTCCCCCTCTAATTTTAGAATATTTTTATGGCTAACATAACTCACCCTCTTCTTCTTCTTCATCATCCTCATCTTCTTCTTCTTCCCCTTCAACATAGTCATCATCATCTTCTTCATCCTTGAAATTCAAATATTCAGTTTAAGAATAAATGAGCCATGACACATATTTTCCAGTTTGATACTTATAATTTTAAAAACACAAGATACTAATCACATTTATCTCTTGATAATTTAGAAAAGCCCAAGTTTAAAAAGCTAATTACTTCTCTGGAACTTGTTTTAAAGAAAATATGATTACAGTGCCTATTGTAAGTCCTACATAAAGTCCTTCTTTATACATATTAATTCCTTATTTTGAAGAGCAGCTGAAATAGAAATAAGAGTCAAACTGCCCTGGCCAGGTGGCTCAGTTAGTTGGGACATCATCCTGTATACCAAAAGGTTTCAGTTTGATTCCCAGTCAGGTCACATCCTAGGTTTTGGATTCAATCCCCATTTGAGGCACATATGGGAGGCAACTGATAGATGTTTCTATCTCACATTGATGTTTCTATATTTCTCCCTTCCTCTCTCTCTAAAATCAGTAAAAAAGGTATCCTAAGGTGAGAATTTTTTTTAAAAAAGACTCAAACAAAAAATACCTAATCAAATACCATTTCTATTTCCTTCTACTTTCTCTTTAAATCTCAGTAGTCTCTGACACTCCCTTCCACTGGCTCTTAGTTTCTAAAATCAAGACCCCATTTTAAACACCCAAATTATCTCATCATAATTGAACACTTCATAATTGAACCCTGCTACCTGGGTACTACCATTGACTTAAGATTATCTTAGAGATTTTTGTTCTATACTTGACCATTCAGTTTTAGTTAATATTTCCCAATGTTCAATGGAATGATACACATAAACATTTGCAGTTAACTAAAGATCATTTTTAAATTACTTAATACTATCTAGACTTAAAAAGAATGATTGACAGAGAAAATAAAAAGCCAAATACAAAATAACATGAGTTCATTATTTTACTAAATAAATTAAAACTTAGGGGAAAAATACCCAAGTTGTATACTGATTCAAATTAAACAGGTTGCCTTTCTCTATGAATACATAAGATACTTAAAAGTTCTATTCTTCATGATGCTATAGCTCCTAACTCACTAAGGGCCCAAACAAGTTTGAGTCCTATTTCTCCTCATACTAGTTTAATATTTAAAAGAGTATCAGAGAAAAATTACCATTAATCAGTGATATCATCTATCTAACCAATGTAAGTCATTAGGAAAACAAATGAGAATACTAACAATTTCTAGTCTAAGATATTTTTAATAATAAAAACTTGTTTTAAATTATAAATTATGAAAACGAAACTCAATAAATTAACAATAGGAGAAACTCACTCCCCTTAAAGATCTCACCATCTAGCAGAAGTTGCCAAATAAACAAGTTTTTACAAAAGTGACTACAGGTAATAATAGAAGCCTAATCAAGGTTCAAAGGTAACAGAGAAAGGAGTGACTGTCTATTAAAAATTATAAAAAGCTTCAATGAGGCAACTCCAGAGCTGAGAGTTTGTGTGGTGTTTTTTTATAAAGTAGAGCCTTTTACAAAAAATACTTTCATTGGTTTTTTAGAGAGAGAGGAAAGGAGAGGGATAGAGAGGTAGAAACATCAATGAGAGAGAACATCATCGATTGGCTACCTCCTGCACACCCAGTGTAAGGATGGAGCCCGCAATCCGGGCGTGTGCCCTGAAGGGGAATTGAATCACAATCTCTTGACACTCAACCACTGAGTCAAACAGGCTGGGCCAGAATAGAGTTTTTAAAGATAACAGTTCATGAGATATGATTTGTGTGGTGGTTACACAAGTATAAACATTTGTAAAATCCTGTGGATTTGCCCTGGCTGGTGTGGCTCGGTGGACTGGAGCATTGTCCCATATACGAAAGGCCAAAAGGCCGTTGGTTCAATTCCCAGTCAGGGCACATACCTAGGTTTCAAGGATCCGGGGCATGTAAGAGAGGCAATCAATAGATGTTTCTCTCTCACATCTATGCTTCTGTCTCTCTCTCTCTCCCCCTCCCACTTTCTATAAAAATCAGTATTGAAAAAACATATCCTTAGGTGAGGATTAAAAAAAATTTCATGGGCTTGTACATAAAATCAGTGTACTTTACATGCTTTACTCTATTTATGTTTATCTCAAAAAAAGAAAATTCATCAGAAGACATGGGTACAAAGTCATTAATAGAATACTCACATTATATACAGACAGAAAGGCAAGAAATAGCTTCGTGTGACAATTTATTTTGGTATTGAGGGAGATAAAGCCAGAGAAGGAAGCAGGGGCTAGATAATGAAGGGCCTTGTGTGTCTTGGTGACACCAGGGAAACATTAAAGGGTTTTAAGCAGGCTAGTATTTGCATTCAGAATACACAGGCAAGCACCGCAAAGGCTATACCTTAGTGGTGATGCTGTATTCAGGGAGAGCATTTAGAAAGCTACAACAAAAGCACAGCAAGAAACTGGCTCCAGTGGCTTGGTTGTTTGGGCATCATCCCATGCACCAAAAGGTTGCCAGTCTGATTCTGTCGGGTGGAATACCTGAGTTGGGGGTTTGGTCCTTGGTCAGGAGGGAATGGAGAACGGCCCATCAATGTCTCTCTCTCACCCCCTTGTCTTTCCTCTCCCCAAGCATGTCCTTGGGTAGAGGTTTAAAAAAAAGCATAAGCAAGAAATAACTAGGGTAAAGAAAAGTTTTCGTGAGTGCCTACAATGTGCTAGCAACTAGATACTTCATAGGTATTATTTTGTTAAACCCTAAAACAATCCTACGAGATTGGTATAATCACTAAGTTTTATAAAAGCAGAAACTGAGACTCAGGAACAATTGTAAAATGTTTCCATCACACCATGCTGCTGAGTGCAGAATGGATTTGAAAGGTATCTGGGAGGTAAAATCAATAGATGTTTATGATTATCTGGATATAATATGAACTGAGGGGAGTGGGGGAGAAAAATAACAGGGAGGCAGACACATGCACCCCCACAAGTTAGAAATAACTCATATTTCTACACAGCTTATTTTATAGTATTTAGTTCTATGCCTAAATAACTAATTTTCAGTGCAGGAAAGAAGGGTCTGTTCACCTGAATTTCTTCTCTCATTAAGTATGAGAGGCCCACTTCCTCTTCTCCCTCTCCCAATTCTGAGCCTGCTTCATCTTCCTCCTCATCCTCTTCTTCCTCCTCTTCTTCCTCATACCCTTCAGGTGGACCTGCTTCATCTTCCTCTTCATCATCTTCATCTCCATCTTTAAAAATATGTTCAGAGATAGGCAAATGGCTGGGCAAATGTTTCTTGATAATATATTGATTCTTTTAACCCTTGCCCCGATCACTTCAAACTCTTAAGCAAATGGGTAGGAGGTATCTCAGGGTGACTTTATTTCTTAAAATGTCCTCTTTATAACACCCATATTTACTACTTGAAAAATAGGGTTTCTAAATACTGAAAATTTCCAACATATAGCTTTTCACCACAATATTACATGTACTAAAGTTTATTTTACTTTTTGGACACTTCAAAACCTGCTTGTCCATCATTCCATCACTTTATAACATTGTTTATCCACCAATTCTTTTCAAATAATAGTAACAAAGTGTACCATCACTAATAACAGCTATTTTGTCCATCTTATCTGTTAGTCACCCATTTTCCCAAAAATATATATTCACTAATTCTAGAACATTTCCATCAACCCCAAATCCATTGGCACTCACCATTCTCCCCTCCCCTAGCCCTGGCAACCAATAATCTACTTTGTAGCTCTGTGAATTTGCCTACTCTGGACATTTCAATATAAATAGTTATACAATATGTAGCCCTTTGTATCCGGCTTCTTTAACTTAGTAGAAGGTTTTCAGGATTCACTCTGGTATCAGTACTTCATTTTTATGGCTGAATATTATATATATA